ATTTCCTTGAAAAATCACATTTGTGTCATAAACTATCCTAAAAAGCACCATATACGTGTCATCTTGTATTGAAATGAGCTTGCTGATCAATATTATATAATGGTTACCAATGACAACCGTAGGGAAGATAGTGGAAAACTGAAGTGGTTTACTATTTATGAGTCACGGGTTACTATTTAAATGTTCGATAACAGTCGTTAGGGTTAAAAAAGTGAAGCGTTAAATTTAAAAGTGCTTAAGCTGCAACTTTCTAGGAAATATCCAGATTCCTAAATTCCAGATTAGGCTCTTTCTATTGGTTAATTTTCCCCTGAGGCTTTTTAAATAATAAACATGGCGGATTCTAAAGATCTTTAATTTGTTTATTATTTATTTCTTTAAGTTGTGCTCTCTGTGAATCTTTGTGTATCTTATGTATGTAATGTGTATTTTATCACATTTCTTTAAACCCAGATGTTCCTTTTCTATCACAGAAATCCAGCATAATGTTTCTGCTTTATTGATTCAAACTTTAACAGTGAGATTTTGTTTTGCATTGCCGTCCACCTCTAGACCTCGAAGATCCTAACGGAGACCCAGATGGACCAACAATTGCTCCTGACCCAACGGCTGCAGCTGACGATGACATCCTTCAGCCGTTCTCCCCCTCATCATCTACAGTCTCTATAGACACAGAGGAGGAGATTTTATCTTCGGAAACACCTGAAGTCTTATCCACCGACATGCAGGACTTGATAGCAGAACCAGAAAAATCTCAGCTCGGTTCGACCCCTGCCTCTTCAATCCTGGCTTCAGTGATGCCCCAAGAGGAAAACACTTCCAACCCAAACATAGAGAGTGACCCAGGAAGCAGCACCAGCTCCCCTGATGTACTGCAAGGCATTAAAGATCCAGAATCCACTCTATCCCCAGATGGAAATGGGGTTTCCTCATCCACAGATGCAGACCCGCATGAGAGTACTGACAGCGATCAACCAGACGTACCGACGGCTGATCCTCCCACTTCTGAACCCGACATTACCACTCTGAACCCACAAACCCAGAGTACTGACAGCGATCAACCAGATGTACCGACGGCTGATCCTCCCACTTCTGAACTCGACATCAAACCTCTGAACCCACAAACCCAGAGTACTGACAGCAATCAACCAGACGTACCGCTCACTGATTCTCCCACTTCTGAACCCGACATTACCACTCTGAACCCACAAACCCAGAGTACTGACAGCGATCAACCAGACGTACCGACGGCTGATCCTCCCACTTCTGAACCCGACATTACCACTCTGAACCTACAAACCCAGAGTATTGACAGCAATCAACCAGACATACTGACTCCTGATCCCCCCACTTCTGAACCCGGCATCAAACCTCTGAACCCACAAACCCAGAGCACTGACACCGATCAACCAGACGTACCGGTCACTGATTCTCCCACACCTGAACCCAACATCACACCTGACCCGTCCAAAGTATCGACCACCTCTAAACCAAACACCAAGCCTCTGAACCCACAAACCCAGAAACCATACAACCCTAGAGACTACCAAGGAGGTAATAACACGTTATTCCCAGCAGAGACATCATGTTATAGTTCCAAGGCCTGTTACAGTTTCCGATGAGCTTAGTTGTTTTTATTCTTCCTTCAGGGAAGTGATTTCTCAAACTTTCATTAAGGAAAAGGCCAAACTGACGCGTCCCTTAAAACGGTAATAAAGGTCGAGCAACCCTTGGCAGCAGAGATATAAAACTTTAAAAGACTCTGTGATAGGAGATTTCAGTCTAGGATTTGACGAGGCATCGCTAAAACGTTGGTTTTGATCTCTTCAGAGGTGGACTTGTGAGCATTCATTAGATGAATGTCCTGGGCTGAAGGCTGATGGTTTCAGAATATTCTGCTACCGAACAGAATTTATGGACCAACCGATTACAGCAATTCATCTGGATGCTGGAGCAGCCAGCAGCCCAAACCATTAGTCTACCACCACCGTGTTCTCTTTCTGAAAGGTTAACTGCTTTATGCTGGTTCCTTCCAAAAAGTTTCACTTTGTCTCGTCGGTCTACAGAATATTACCAAAGTCTCCTCAGGACCATCGAGGTGCAGCACTTTAAATGATCTGGGTTTTATTATAGAGGCTCTCACTAGGAGCCAATCGAACAAGCTTTCCAGAGATGACAACAAATGTGTTTCTCTTGTTTCTAAATTTCTTCTTTTCTTTTGAGATCTTTTATCCTACTTCATGTCACCCTGGTTGCATTTTCTTGATTCTGCAGGTTGGTGAACAATGTTTTGAAAGGCCACAGAAATAAACTTAGCTTTCCAGAAAGAAAAGGTCAATTAAATTAATCATACTTTGAAAAGAGAATTGTTTTTGATAAGGAGCCATGATGGGTTATGTAGAGATTTTCTCGTTAATGCTACAAAATTATTTTCAAACAGCTTAAACAGCAGTTAGAGCACCGTAATTCTCAGCTAACAAAACTCATTTATTTCTGGAATTGGACCAGAAGGTAACAGATATCTGACTTCAGAGGTTTGGTAAACACAGCATGAACAGACGCACTAAAAAACAATCTATAAATAAGTAGAAATGTCTTACATTTAGTGTATTTATCCTCAATTTAATAAGGTTAATTAGATAGTTTGCCAATGGAATTACTATTTTTACCCTTAAAATAAGACAATTAGATAAAATGCACCTGAAATAAGACAATGCAATTGTGTTTTCTTATTTTAAGTGTAAATTGTCTTGTTCCATTGGCAAAATCTCTCTTTTATTTACTCAATCCAAGAAAAAAATACTTATTTTAAGAAAAAATGACTCATGTAGATTTCTGTTTTTTTCAGTGCATAAGACTATCTCATTTTAGATGATAAGCCAAGGTAGACTGATGCATCAGTTAGCCTATTTTTCTTGCATTAGCATCAGCCGATGCGTGCAGGCATTGGCTGATTCAGTAGTCCGCTCCCTTCATCTGCTATCTATGCCTTTATTAAATCCAATCCATTTGATTGGTTGATAAAATGTTTTTTTTTTTTTTATATATATATTGAGACTTTTGTAACATTTGTTATAATTTTTATCATGTAAATGAAGGAAGAAAAAGCTATATACGCTGCAGAAATTGGCAGCACACATGAATTGGTTAGACCAGGAGTGGGCAAATCTAATTCCCGAGGGCCGGTATTCTGCAACTTTTAGATTCTTGGTCCAACAAACCTGAATCAAATAGCTGAGTTGCTTCCTCAGTATACAGTCAGTTCCTCCAGAGTCCTCTCAATCATCTATTTACTTGATTCAGGTATGTTGAACAAAAGGCACATATTAAAGTTGCAAGATACTGGCCCTCAGGAAGTGGAATTGCCCATCCCCGGGTTAGACGGATGTCAAAAATAGTTGGTATTTTTAGAAAACATGCATCAGTCATCTATAATCAAGAAATGCTGAAAATTTCACCTTCATTCATCTTTTCTAAAAGATTGAATGAAAATCTGACCTCTAATGACTAAATCAAAACCTCTATGATTTAGTCATTCAAACTAAACATGAAAATTATACAAAAACTTCTCTTTTTAGCACTAATGTCGACTAAAGTACCAGCAGAGGAAACTGTGCCTCCATTTGATAAAATATGGGAAATAAAAAAAAAAAAAAGAACATTTTCTTTCCTGGTGGAATCCTTAAAGAATTTTTTTTTTTTTTTTTACAATAGACGTAAATAAGGGTGCATAACTACCAAAAGAAAAAACAGCAGGAGTAGATTGCCTCACGGTTCTGGAGTTAATCAAAAAATATGAACTATGAGAACTTCAAGATTCTTCTAAAATTCAATAAGGGCAAGAATCTTTTGTTGTTTTGCATAAGTTAATAATAAAAAAGACATTGAAAAAAAAGATGTAAACAGAAACTCAAAGAAATATTAAATTAATAACAGTCTGGTTTCAATTTTGTTGGGAGCATTTTGTACCCCAGAGATTCAAGAGCCAAAAACCGTCCACAGAAAATGTCCAAATAGATTCAATTGAAGGTCTGCCCTCAACACTCTGCTTGTTTCCTCTCCAGATGAGAACAGTGACTCTGATCTGTGCAGCGGGAGGCCGGTTGGCGGGGTCACCACACTCAGGAATGGAACAATCGTGGTTTTCAGAGGTTAGTGTCAGGAATGATTGAAGTCTGTTCACGATCACCTTTAATCTTCATTAGAGAGATTTTTTTTTTTATTCCTTCCCTTTATTTAAACATGGCTGAATGTTATTGTCAAAAATTCATTTTTATCTACACACACACATTATTTACCAGCATGCACATTTTAAAAGCTTTATAAATTGTTTCTGTAGTTCTTTTATCAGAGTGTCATTTTGTCACAGGTCATTACTTCTGGTTTCTGGACAGAAACCGGGTGCCGAGCCCACCCAGAGGAATCACAGAGGTTTGGGGTGTCCCCTCACCTATTGACACCGTCTTCACTCGCTGCAACTGCCAGGGAAAAACCTACATCTTTAAGGTAAGCCACCTCACAGTGTCCTGCAGAAACACAACCATCCCAGAGCGGAACATCCTGGCAGAGATAGGTAGAGTGCCCAAAAATGTACTCACATAAGAGTAGCAACATTTTAAAAATGTTTTACCCAAGCAAAAGTAAAAGGTATTTGGTAAAAAGGCTAACTGAGTAACTGTTAGATAATATGAGAGGATATTGATCCGGGTGGATCATCAAAATAAGTGGTCCTCCTAATTGTCAATCATTCTGGTGATATGTTTACATAAGGCCGTCCTACACGCTTGTCCCCATTTTCACTCACTCTGAGGTAGTAGAAAAATTGCAAATCTTCTTTTGGAAACTAAGCAACTTTTAAACAGAGCGTGCACAAGGAGAAATGGGCTTGTATACGCTCTCACATTCGTTTAATAGGCGTTCCCTCTCAGGAGCAGTTACACGGTTGTGCATGTGCTTTTTTTTTTTAACTGGAGAGGGCGGTTCTTTTCAAAAATACGTGAAAATCCTCTACTGTACCTTTAATATTCATAAATGATGCTGGAAAACAGCTTTAATATGCAAGTTCTTGTATTTTAAAGGCTCAAATGCCTGAAGAATAAAAACAAATGTGAATATAAAAGAAGTAATTTGTGCAAAAGAAATACTTTTACCAATTTCTTTTTCATAAAACTTAGAAAACCAATCCATACAATGAGAACTGTATATAATGCTAGAATAGGGTAACAAACTTCCACTGTTAATTTCTAATGTTTACGATACGTTTACCTGATTTTTGAATAGTTCATCTTACTTACAGAGGACAGAGCAAAAGTAAGAAGTATGGCACAGTAAACCTACTCCTAATGGTACTTTTTTTTCAAATCGTCTCTTATATAAACATGAAAAAATGTTAAGTTCAAGGTGCTATCAATACTGCTGTTGTAGAACCCTTTTTACCCGGTCCAAACCCATAAACAAAGGAGGAAACATGTTTAAGTATTAACAGTATTTGTAAGTATTTTCAATTCCAGTCATGTTTGACTAAATCTATCACACCCTTACGTTCCTGTAATTTCCAGGGGAAGACCCCACTGCAAAGGCCCAGAGCTTCTGCACACTTTCCCATTTTATCTAAAAGTCAGCCAGCATGTCTCTACAAAGTCCCCAGTCAGCATTCAGTCCTTCTCACACAGCTTCATCATATAAGATGATGCTGAAGTCGCCATTGCCTCCATATGTCAGCATAAGAATGTCCATTTTGGCTGACCCACACAGAAGAGTTAACAGATGCAGAAATGAACATATGTACCCGGTAACAGTTATTTAAAACAGAAAATAAAATAGAAATCCATCTTTAACACAACCTTGAGGTGAAGCCTCAAAATCCCTCATTTGATCTCTAATACTAACACATTTCCTCGATGGTTGTTTTTATGTGCAGGGAGGCAAATATTGGAGGTTTGAAAATGACGCTCTAGATTCTGGTTATCCTAAAGCCATTAAAGTGGGCTTTGATGGGCTCCAGGGCCACATCACGGCTGCCCTGTCCGTACCTCAGTACCTCAACAGAAAAGAGTCAGTCTTCTTCTTTAAGAGAGGTAAAAGAAAATGGTTCCAAAGCTTTTTAAACTGATCAGAATCTGTGATGGGTCAGTCTAATTCTGTTTTTTTGTCCACAGGGGGAACTGTTCAAAAGTATTCATACCAGTTTGGCACCAGCTCAGGATGTCGAAGAACTTCCTCACTTCCTGTTTATACCGTTCGTTCCAGATTTGCCCGACAAGCAGGTTTGGCACAAATTAAGGCAACAAATGATTCTAAATTTCATTTTTTTCAGTGGATAAAGTACTTAGTGATGAACAGAATTCCCTTTAGTCTTGCTGGGTTGAACCGTGGAGCATTTGATTGTACTTTCCTTTGCAAGATGGAGGCCTTTGTGTCCTTCCTGGGTTGGGGTCTGATTATTTACACTTTGCATTTGCTCCTGGGTTTCCCAATACACACAAAGGCACACACTGATGACCAAGCATTGGCCATTGGGTATTTCTAACCTGAGAATGTGTGCATGATGCACAGACCAGCTGTTCTGTGTAAGGATTAAGAGGTACAGAAAATCCTCTATAATTTATTCTGCAAAGTTCTAACACTGCAGACGGCAAGACATTTTCCATTGTCTCCACAGACTTACTGTTTTTAAACAAAATAATAGATGGCAGCCTGAAGATCATTTACCCAAAAAATTGTCAGAATCCTTCCTAGAAACACTAAAGTAGACAGAATGCAGTGATGGTTAGGAACCTTTAACATATAAGGGGCTAAAAATCATTTACTTAACTTTACACCGACATTAAAAAAAATATATTTTTAATTTTGTAATTTTCGCTCCTCTCTAGTTTCTGTTTTAGAACCAGCCGTAAACATCCGGAAAGCCTGGAGAGGATTCCCCTCCACCATTACAGCAGCCGTGTCCTTGCCAAGCAGCAGAGACCCAGAGGGATACAGATACGTCGTCTTCTCCAGATGTAAGTCTGACACACTGCTTTAACTTTACTACATTCTTCCCCCGGAAACATAAAACATATGTGAACAGATTAACATTAAGAAATAAGATTACTGAAGTCGGATATTTAGGTTTTATCTTTATAACTTCAAATGTCAAAGGGAAACAAAACCAAGTTAATTTGAAATTAGATTAATAGACTGAGTGTTCAACTTGAACTACCTTTCCTTACAGAAACATGGTGTTGGCAGCATAATGCTGTGGGAGGCTTTTGCAGCAGGGATAGGAAAATTTAATGAAACCCTGATATAGGTGGTTTGTCTTCCGATAACATGAAGCCAAAGCTGAAAGGGGATTGGTTTAGATCAGGGGGCCACAAACGGTTCTTTGGACCTAAAAAAATAGATCTAATAGTCAGCTAAAAATGTCCACAAAAAGCCCTGCTTTGGATACAGATAATAAAAAAATTAACAAAACAAAACAAAAACAAAAATCAGTAAATATCAGTAAACTTTGTTTTATTTTCCTAAGAACAAAAAAAAAAAATTCACCCCAAAGTAATTTTTCTGTTTTTTCATTTAGGATTGAAACAATTGATCAGATTTATAGCGATTAATTGATTATTGAAAGAATTGTCAACTAATTTAGTAATTTATTAATCCTTAAGTGGAGTATTGAGACTGCAAGATGTGCATTTACTGACAGAGCACCCCACTTAGAGCAGTAATTATACCAAAATTGTAATAAAAACAATAATTTTGCATTTAAGATAAAAAATAAAAACATTTGATCTGTCAATATGCTATTTTCAGAACTCGTTAAATGGAAAAATTTGAGATTCACCTGGTTTAATATTATTAAAACTTTTCTTTAAAGAATCTTTGTCTATCTCAATCAAAAAAAAAATCAACAAATTAATCAATACGCAAAATAAACGTTAGTTGCAGCCCTAGTTTTTTTTTTTTTTTTTAACACCATTAAACATAGCAGCTCACTGACCACTTTCCCTAAAAATACAAACTTCCAACAGCAAGAAAAGGAAATCTATCCTAAATAAACTCCAACGAATCCGTTTACAGAACGTTTTGCATGTATTCTTTTGCAGCGACGGCCTTCAACGTGAGGATGCAAGGCGATCGCCCCGTCGTTGCCGCCCCGAGCCCCAACGTGTCCCCGAGAACCAACAACTTCTTCAAATGCCCGAGGAAATTATAAAGGAAAAAATACGAAGAGGCAGCTTTTTTTCTTCACTTTTATTCTCTGCATTAAAAGACACGGCATCAACATGGATAAAAAAAAAAAAAGATTTCAACACATTGAAATCAACACAATCTAAGGGGAAGAAACAGGAATGAATGCATGAACAGGACTGAATGCGGATCTGGAAGTCGTTTCTGATCCTGGAAACCAAGGATCAGTCTTCATCTCAGAAATCGTCTCCCATGAACGCCGCGGGAAGGGAAGGCTTGACCTGTGGAAAAGAAAATGACTCAGTTACAAACTTGACTGTAATGACATTCATGATAGTTTTTCCTTATAACTAAAATTTGATTTAAAAAAAATGCTGTAAGATTTTTTTTGCACTATAAACCATTCAAAACTAAAACACTTGTATTCTGTCACATTCTTTCATTAATGAAGTTCTAGTAGAAAGGATCAAACGTCTCACCTCCTCTCTTCATCCGACCGCCGCGGCTGTCTTGCCAGCGCTGCAGCTGTCTGGTGGCTCCAAGACGAGAGGGTTTAGGTGCGGCGCAGCTTGTATCTGTGGAGATGTAACGTTTCAATCGGTCAGATCTGGCATCACAGGCAGCCATCGGGGAAGAGTTTTAGGACTCAGTGGCACCGCCAGGGGGTGGCCACAGCCACCCTGTGCAATCCCCTGGCCACCCCACCCATCATTGTAAATTGTAGTAGCAGCAGTCTAGCTTTTTATCGCATTATGCCGAGCCAACGTTGTAACATTAAAAATCAGACAATAACCCAAGATATGAGTAGGTGTTTACTTAAGTCTTTATGATTTCTACATGAGGGTTTACCACAATAGCAGGTTCAAACCCTGAAATTATGACTTTTAGTTTCAGTGTGCCAAGCCAAGATTTTTAGTGGCTCCATCTGGGCCCCTCCCTATAAAACATTTCTGGAAGCGCCACTGCAGAGTCTTTACCTGCAGAGCTGGAGGAGGGTTCCTGGCTGGTGGAGGGAAGGTTGGCTCTGTCAGACGGCTGGCTCGGCTCCTCCGCTTCTCCTTGGGACACCACGGGTTCCACAGACGCTTCAGCAACGGGCCTAAACAGGAGGAAAAAGACTGAATCAGACCACAGATTGAAAACGTTTTCAAACGAGCCAAACTTTAACATCTGAACACCTTCTTCTTTCAAAGACCTTTTAAAGATTGTTTAAAACCTTTTTTAGACGTTGCTGTTAATATTTATTCAACAGTTCATAAAGCCGTTGATGTAGCGTTTAGATCATTCTGTTTTTTTGTTTTGTTTTTATCACAAAACAGAATTTAATCATCAAAAGTTCTGCCCAGAAACAGGCCTAGATTATTGGTTTAAGTGTAGAAAGGCATGAAAACACTTAAAAAGAACAATATAGGAACTTCAGCAAATTGGAGAGGAAGGTAGAAGTAGGTTTGCTCCCTTCCACTGTAGGGTTACCTTTTTAGTGGCATTTGTATCAGTTTAACACATTTCTTTTACTAAATGGCAAAAATAAACAAAAATACTAAAATAACTGAATTACCTGGCAAAATATGAGTGCAAGCTTTGCTACTTTATAGAAATCATTAAAAGGGCAGCAATATTAAAGATTAGATAATCTTAAACTGTCCTTAAGCAAATTGAAGTAAGAAGAACAAAAAAAACTGAATCAGGATGATATAGACATTGGCATCATAACCATAAGCACATGTTGACCTATTCTTGAACCATCAAAACATAACTTAAATACCATATACATTTTATTCAGTTAAACTATAACTTTCATACCGCAGCACTCTATAGACGTTCTGTGGAGGATTTCTTTTTGAAATATTATATTTTTTTTTTAAAGGTGAAGAAGCTATGACTTTAGAAGTTTTGTAAGTTTTTACTTAAAAATATGTACAATAACCATTTTATTTGACCCTTTATGACTAAAACATTGTTTGATAAGCAGACTGAAACCTCAGTGGTTCGGCATCGATGCATTTATGAGCCTGTAGCCAATTTTATTGAATTTAATTAAACTCAGAAGTTACCGCTCCTCGGCGTATGAGATGTCAAGCGCGTCCATGTTGAATAGATCCAAACAATCTAACTTTTATATAAGGATGTATTTTGTGGATACTCGGAAGCGACCGGCAACCAGCTCAACTCAGGCACAAATGGCAACTACACATAAGGTGAATAAAGTAAAATACTGGTTAACTGTGAGCAGAAGGGTGCTGCAGTTCAGTATTTTGGCCACAAGTGGCAGTATTGTTAGGAAATGCCTTTTTAAATACAGATTTGTGTTTGTCGTGTTCCAGAAATGCTAAAAAAAAAAAACTATAATCAATGTGGGCCTTGGAGTTTGGTCATAGAGGGAAAAAAATAAGTGGATTTATGCAGGACAAATGGGAAGTAGGAATACATCAAGCAGCAAACATATTCAGACCTAAGAATAAAATTTTAAGATGAATCAGAAAATTTTAAACACCTTTATGGTCTGTAAAGTAGATAGCTGCTTTTGGATCCTGAAAAAGTAAAAATGGTGATAATCACCTTTCAGTGTCTGGCTCCAGGAACGCTTCTCTTTCGTCCACAGATCCGGACGTTCCTGGCAGCACCAGGCCCGGCGTGGATGTGCTCACCATGGGAACCGACTGCGAGGCATGCTCCGTTGTGTCAGACTGCACAGCGTCTGAGAAACAGATAATGGAGATAAAAGCAAAGTAATCTCATCTTTACAAACTGCCGAAACTCTAAAATCTAAATGTTCTTAAAAAGATGCTCTGATACCTGCTGCTGCAGCCTGCAGCGGTGTGGTGGGAACGCTGCGGCCACCTGACTCTTCCTCATGAGGGGCCAAGAACAGAGGACTCTCATACATCCCAAGACCTGGAGAAAAAGGTTTATTTTAGTTTTTACCGTTTCCAGACCTTCTTTTAGATTTGTATTTGCATGCAGGCAAACTTATATGTAATGAAATGGATTTTGAAAGCTGTGATGGATCACCTCCTTGTGAGGCGAGCTGCCCGAGGTCAGAGTGTGAGGAGGAGCTGGTCTGAGGCACTTCTTCTGACAGACCGAACCTGAAGCGGGGGACTCCAGCCACCTGGGGAGAACTAGAACCAGACAAACCAGGATGAAGCAACTGAAACCAAGTGACTGCAAAACAATTAGACTCCCCTTTAGCCTTTTATATATCATCACTTGGGAAGATATATTCACTGAAATGGAAAGAGTAAAAAAAAAAAAAGAAACTATACGCAAAAACCACTAACAAACCAAGAGAGTAGTGGGGAGATACTTACTGGATAGCCTGGTCAAACCCTTCTGAGCGAGGAGGCACCAGAGTAGGAGCGCTGGGAACTGTCCTGTCATCGTCTTCGAAGAAATGCTGCTGCAGAACGAGGGAAGAGCAGTGAATTTAACGCAGATTCACAAATGCCACAAAAACAAATAAAACAACTGAATTTAAATCCATCTGATGGTGGGAATAGTTTCACTCTTTGGAGCGGAAGCTGCCTCTAAATGAACAGGATTCTCCCCCCCAGCTATTTACTGCTCTATCAATGAGGATGTTAAAATAAAAGGAAGAGAGACTGTGAGATCGGTCCTTAGTCTGTTATGGTGCGTTCATAATGAACACCAGTCCCACTTGTTTGACACATTAACAGTTCCCCTGGCGCGCTGGAGCGACGCAATCAGCCATGGCCGACTCTGGAGCTCAGGGACGACAGAATAGCTACGTTTACATGCAAAAACTTTCCTCAATCCGATCTAAATCCCGGTGGTTTGGAGGAATTAAAATGTATTTACATGGTAATAAAACGATTCGGTCACGATGGGTGTACACAGGTATCATGAGTTCAATCAGATTAAATAATTCCTCATGCACAGAACTGTCTAGTTCACAGGTGTCAAACTGGTTCCAGAAAGGGCCGTGTGGCTGCAGGTTTTCTTTCCAACCAAGCAATGGCACACCAGGCTCCAGGCATCTCATCAAGTCATCATGTTCAGATTGGACTCACTTCATGAGATGATTGGACTCTGGTGTGCTATTGCTTGGTTGGAAAGAAAACCTGCAGCCACACGGCCCTTTCTGGAACCAGTTTGACACCCCTGGTCTAGTTTTTCAGAAATGCTTTAGTAGTAGAAGCTGCCCGTTATGTAAACAAAATAAATCTGCTGATCCTCAGCTTTAGCTACGCTTTCTGTCTGCCCCTCACTCTTCTTTTACTTCTATTCTTCAGTCGGGTCTGTTAAAGTTTTCTTCCATTATGGACCTTTATCGTATCTTTGTATCCATACTTCTGTTTTTTATGGTCATTTTAGTTAATTGTTCAGCGGTACCTTACGCTAATGCTCCTTTGCTACAGGGGTAGAGAGCAGAATGGCATGTTCATCCGCACATTACATTCAGAGACGCCTCCTCGGCCAAGGACCAGGAGCCAGTGGATGAGGGTCAGGAGTGAAGAGGAAAAGAGTCATGAGATTATTTTACCCCAAGGATTCCAATGTGTGTGTACACACGTCGGTTGAAATGCCGACCGGAAAAAATGCACATCTCTCATTTTAAAAGAAATGTCTTTCTTATCGGAACAAATCAGATTGCAATCTTCAGTCTGACATGTTTACTTAAAAAAATTTTCAACCTGATCAGGCCTTCAGCACCATTATTTGTGCCCATGTAAAGGTAGCTAGTAAGTGTAGCAACAAGGAGGATGAATGAAGTAATGAAGAAATTAATTAAAGTTCTGAGGGTAGCTATGCTGCAACCTTTAGATTTGTTTTTTGTCCCAAATCAAATGGCTGAATTAGCTCCTCAGGACGCTGTCAGTTTCTGCAGATTCCTTGTTTCTTAATCATCTAATTAATTGACTCAGGTGTGTTGGACCAAGAACACCTCTAACATTTGCAGCATAGCGGCCCTAAGGAACTGGAATTGCCAATCCCGGCACCAAGGGCTACATTAAAATGATTTTTAAAAGCCAAACACAAACCTCTAAGCATTCCTGACCTCATCTTAATTCAACATAAAGCTTTTGTTGAATGAAAATGAAGATGGAAAAGTTAGTCTTCACTGCACTCCTTCAGCCTACATCAAAGCAGGTCCCTGATTGGTTATCAAATCAGACTTGACAAAAGTTCAGATTTTTCAACTCACGCACCTCTATTGCATGCGCCGCCATAATTGGGCCATCAATTCACTAGATGAGCATCCCCCGCATCACTTTGCATCCCTGTGCTTCTGAACGTGCCCCTACATGGGGGTGACTTAAGGTATAGTGGAGGATGTTCTTTTTCCGGGTGGCTGATCAAAATAAGTGGTCCACCCAATTGTCAGTCGTTGCGGTGATATGTTTACATAGGCTGTGCTACATGCTCGTCCCCATTTTCACTTACCGGTGGTGAGACATAGTGGAAAAATTGCAAATCTTCATTTGGAAAGTAAGCTTTTATGAGTGATGCAAAGAGCAACTTTTAAACAGAGTGCACACGAGGAGAAATTGGCTTGGGCTTTTTTTTTTTTT